GTTTATTGAACCGAACCTCTTTTAGAGCTTCTTTCTCTAATATGTTCTGTGGACTGGATGTGTGCTACAAAGTTTTGGAAAACTGAAATCTATTTTACAAGAGGAAGAGGCGGGCACAGAGCCCTGTGTTTTATTTGAAAAAACCGTGCTGAAGGTAAGAAAAGCTAATTGGTAGGACAGTGACAGTATGTATGGAACCGTCTGACCAGCCCATTCCCAACGCTGCATCAACACCTTGTCAACTCAAAGAAAGCACAGGAGAGAGAAACAAGTGTCATTTGCCGAGCCTAACTTCCATCCAAACCCCACATGATGAAATGATACCCCCCCTTCCCCGAGATACCACATAGCATAGAAACGTCACGGTGGGTAACTGTCAGCAGAGAGGTAACTGCCTCAGAGAACAGTCAGGGAAGTCCATTCCTGTGCATAGTATTCTTGAAAAATACATTTCTTAGACCCCTACTTTCCCCACTTCACTCACTCCAGAACCTGAAGAAAGACTAAACTTCAAGACTTGAGTGAGACACATTCTCAAAGTTGCTTTGAATGGAAATCTAAGAACTTGTGAGACCTGCAGTAAGATGTATCCTGAGGCTTCAATTCTTAGGGAATTGTAATGCAAAGAGAAAAATACCAAACAACATACCATAACAGCTAAAATTTAAAGAGCTGAGTACTAAAGAAAAAATAAAAAAACCACCTCTCTTTGAAAGTGATCACAGTGCCAACCTAGCGGACTCAACAGAAAACGTCCTCTGTGGCTCCTCAGTCACCTTTCTGATTACTTGTTTGGAAGGATGCTGTCACCACACTGTTCACATCAATCTAAGTGGGGTGGAAGAGGAGTGGTAGGCAGAGCAACGCCCCTGAAGAGTAGCAATATTTAAATCCAACAGTCCTGGTGAGTAAAGACTAGCCTATTTGGTGCTTAAAGAAAACTCTCCTTGTGAAACCACAGAATCTTTCCTAGAAAGACAACCAGGTGACACTTCTATTTGCCTGTGAAAGCATATTACTACTAGTATCATTGATCATTAAGTTCATGAAGGGACTCCAATAAAAATAGTTGCCCTCACTTCTCTACCTTACAGAAAACCAATGCCATACAAACACCAATGTTAACATGGAGAATAAATCTCAGTGGAGGATTATCAACTGGTTGGCTTTAAACATTGAAGCCACATGTTCTTGACAAAAATACTTTCAAATTCATCTTAAATCTTATCACATAATTCATCTACCTCAGTTCAGAAGAATTTGGCAATAATCCTATTACCATCTATTATAATGATAACAAATATCATTGCTACTTTATTAAAAATCAGGTCTTTTTAATCCTATTTGAAACTATTGGCAACCTAATGAAGACTTCCAAAACTCCACATGCTTGATAAGGTTTGAGAAGCACTATCTGGCATCTTAGATCTGAAAATCTTCTAGGTTCTAACACAGAAATTGCCGTTAAGCAACTAAAAATGCAGCAAACACACAATGATAAAAATTTGCCACTATAACGTACTCACTTGGGGCTGTCAGATTTCAGTTGGAGGCCTAAAGCTAGCAATGTCAAAATGAAGAAAAACAGAAGCAAGTTCTTATGTTAACAATCATCTTGACTACTGCAATCTAAGAAATGCAAATGAACTCCAAAACCCCACCTGGGCTCACAGCCCAATACAGGTATGGATAAAGTTGGGGTTACCCTGGCTCTAATGCAGAATTTGGCGCCTACTGGGACACTTCACATACATCCAGGAACTTAGTGGTAGAATACTAGTGGGTTTATTAAACACAATAAAATCCTCAATTTTCTTACAAAGTTTATGAATGTGTGTGTGTGTGTGTGTGTACACAAGCATACACTGCGACTTTTATATGGCTTTAAATATACTGTTAATAGGCATATAATTTTCACAGGTAGGTTATTTCAAACATCTCTGACTACACTTTGGGGCAGATGTATAAGAATGAACTCAAGTATTTAAAAAAAAACTTGCAATTTTGATCAAAAAATCAACTTCTGAGAGATTTCCAATCAGTCTACTTAAAACTCAAATGTTAATATGTAGTCTCATAACTTGGTATACACTGTCCACAATTTTATATCCATAAGTATCAAGTCTTTAGTATGGCTTATAATGTTCTTCCACATTATAAGTTAAGGTTCTTACAAAATATAGGCTGAGCTACTCATTACATTCTGCATACCACCAACCTACACTTGCATTTGGATAAATATGCCCGGAATTTTGCCTACTTTAAGGGACGGGGTTAATACATGCTTCGCTTTCAAATATTGAACCGTGACCACTAAGCCCACTAAATCCTTTTATTGCAATTGGGAATGATTAAAGCCTCTCTACTTGTTTACTTCCAATTATTAACTGTAAATCTCTGGGGGAAAGATCGTGCTTTATCGCTGTCAAGCCCAAACGGCTGCGTAAACACAGGCAATCAACTTTTTAGACCTCTTCCAAAGCATCCCTTTACCAAAGCATCCCTTTACCACATGACCGATGCTGACGTGCAGCAAAACCTGTAAAACGTCGTGGACTCGAGTCATGATTCTGAGTGCATCCCACAGCAGAGGTTAAGAGGAAAGCTGTGGTATCCGAGAGGAGAAAAAGGGAGGAGTGGGCGTGCAAAAGAGAGAAAGGGGGGGGAAAAGGACTCCAGCAAGACTCGGGTCCAGTCACCATCGTCACTCCAAAAAAGCTCCAAATTTGAAATGCCCACTTCCCAAAAAGTACGCCCCAAGCGATATTTACAGCACTCACCCAAGACTCCCAGCAAATACCACCTTGAAAACTTTACCCTTTTAAACACAAACGCAGGAGACCTTGGAAACTGGGAACCGCCATCTTACCAGCCATCCAGTTTCACACAAGTGTCCCTCCAACTTAAGTTAATAACATTTCTGCCGGGGCTCCCTCCTGCCTAACACCCACCGTGGCGGGATCGCTGCCCCCCACGTACCCCGTCCCTATAAAATGGGGGCGTTCCCTGGCCGCTTAAACCCCTGAAAAGCCCTTTCTTCGGGAGAGCAGGGGCGCCACTTGACCCAGGCAGCTCCCGATTTCAGGAACCCGTCCCCGTTTCATCCAAATCTACCTCTCAACAAAGGGCGCCGTGGCCAGAGGAGCCGCGGGGACTGCAAGTACAAGTGCTCTCCTCGGGGGCCATGTGCGTCTCGAGGGTGCCGAGGGGCGCTCGGCAGAGAAAGGAACTAAAACGTGGGGGCGCGCGGCGCGTCCGGCGGAGCGGGCGGCGGCGGCTGGAGCGGCGCCGAGCCCGGCTGGCGGCGGCGCGGGCTGCGGGTCGGTCCCGGCGCCGCGGGAGCCGCGGAGCCGCGGGCGCGCGGACGCGGGCGCGGGGCGGCGGCGCGGGCGGGCGGGCGCGGGGTCGGCGCCCACGCTGTCAGCGCCCTCGGCCCGGCGGGCGGGCGCGGGCGAGCGCGGGCGGGCGGCGCGGGCCGGCGGGGGGGCCGCTCCCCTTTCCACCCGCCGCCCGCCGGAGCCCCGCGCGGGCCCCGCGTCCCCCGACCCCCGTCCCGGAGGCGCCTAGCCTCCTACGTACCCGGAAAAAGCAGCCGGCGAGAGGCGGTCGAAGCGGGCGGAAAAGACAATGAAAGTTAAAAGTCGTTCAGCAGAAAATGAATGCGAGCCAAGCGGCCATCTTGAAGCGAGCTGCAGACGCCGCTGTCAATGGGCAACGAGCGCGGCCGAGAGCAGCCGCGGCCGCCGCGCTCGGCTCATGCCGCCTCCCGAGCCCGGCCTCCTCCTCCTCCTCCTGCTCGGCCTCCTCCTCCTGCTCGGCCTCCTCCTCCTCCTCGGCCTCCAACGCCTCCTCCTCCTCCGGGGCCTCCTCCTCCTCCTCCTCCTCCTCCACCTCCTCCTCCTCCTCGGCCGCCGCCGCCGCCGCCGCCTCCCGCTCGGCACTCGGGGGAGGGAGCGCGCGGAGGGGCGCGATCGGTTTTATTCTGCGGGGCCAGGAGGTGTTTCTAATCCGGATCGGGGCGCCCTCGCCAACATCCCCATTGTCTCACCCCGATCTCTGCCTTTAATACTACGATTATTATTTCATCATAGTTGCCGTGGGGGGAGGAGGGCGGGCGGGGGGCGCCGTGTGTGAGCGTGCGGAGAGGCGGGGGGGGGATGGGAGGAAGGATGAGGAGGGGGAGGGGAGGGTGGAAAAAAAAATGCACCGCTGAAGGCAGAGTGGAAACTGACACCGGCTCCAAAATGGCTCGGAGTCCGCCCGCCCCCTCCCCCTGCCGCCCCCCCACCGGGTCACGTGCTCCCCTCATTCCTTAAGGGCGGCCTGGGAATTAGTGTCGGTGTAGTCGGGCCCGTGGCCGCCCCCTCCCCTCCGCGCCGCGCGCCCTCCTCCTCCTCCCCCTCCCCCCGCTCTGAGCCGCGGTGGCGGCGGCGGCGTTGGCGCGGCCGCCGAGCGATTCTCCACAGCGCCACTCGCGCCACCCTGCTCTCGGCGCGGGCATCGCGCCGGCCCCGCACGCAGCGCAGCCCACCCCACCCCCCGTTATTTCTTTCTTTCTGTCGCCCGCCTCAGCCGGCGGGCTCACAGGTCCGCTGGCCACCAGCCACCCGCTCGGCTCAACGGGCTGCGGCCCAGACGCCCGCGCCCGCCGCGGAACCTGCGCCGGAGTTGGACTCGCGGAAACAACGGCGCCCGCCCGGGTGCTGTCCTCGCCCGCCGGCGGCCAAGGCGGGGCGCGCGCGGGCAGCGGTCCGCTCGGGGCCGGCAGCCCGCAGTCGGCTGCGGGCGATCCCTTTAGCGCAGGTAACGGGCCGGCTCCCGCTCCCGGACCATTGGGGTCTCCAGCACACCCCGGAGATGCCACCCTCTCCCACTGCGTTTGACTTTAATCCAGAGAAACGGAGATCGTTAACAGCTGACGCTCCTCGCATCAAGTTAACGCTCATCGTAGTACACAAAGTAATAATTAACACACAAACTTCAAATCCAAACAAAATATCACCATTTTGTGGGAACAACACCTTGTTTATTCAGGATGTGATGCTGTCTGCTTCCTTTCATAGGACTTCAAAAAGATCTAAAGAGGATAAAGGTACAGTTCATCCTGAAGATGATTCAAATACGTGGGCAGAATTTCCCTCATAACCCTTTCACACATATAAAAAAAACTGTCAGAACCGATGAGTGACAGATTCGAAGGGAAGCGTTCTCCGCCGAGCGCGAGCGAGCACGGCCAGCTCCCACAGCCCGCGGTGACGTTCCTGGTTTTCCTCTGCACTTGGGCGGATCGTTCACTTCCCAAGTTATAACTGAGTTGCTCGTTCCAGGCTTTTCGAAGCATCTTTAAGTTTCCCCACCAAATCCTACAAAAAGTATATCATGTCAACGTCTTTTTAGGGTGAAACACGGAACGAAGTACCCAAGTTCAGAAAGATGCAATTAAAAAAAATCAGAGAACACTTTCTAAACGTTTAAAATTTACTAAGATTTTAACCTTTTTGCAAACCAGGACCCATCAAAGGAAAAGTTTCCTCTACAGCATCTCATGTTCAAATCGGCTATTTGTCCTCAGCTTGAAACATAATTTCTTATCGAATCCTCAACAGGCAAAGGGTATGTAAACTAATCAAGATATCTAACAAAAGTTATATTATCTCAAGTTTTAAAGTTTGACTAATGGTTATAACAAAATGACCTGCAGAGGTGCCTTTGAAAAATTCAATTTCATCTAAACTGTCAGTGACAATGTTCATTTTTCTAACTGTGAGAAGTAAATCCGTTGTCCTAGCTCTTAACCAAGGCAGTTTTGAATTTTCCCAGTCTTATATTGCTAACAGAAACAGTTTTAGAATTTTATGTTGCTTCCTTCTTCATGAAAAGCCATTTCAAACCGGTTTAAAATTCCAACTTTGAAAGTTTAATTTACTTTCTGAAAGCAAAGAAGACATTTTCAAAGCCATGCTGTTAATTTTGCTTTATCTTATCAGATCAAACTCATGAACAGAAGCAATTTACGGTAAACACTATACTGCAAGATGTTTATCAGAGGGAACAGCAAGTGCACACCAATTCTAAGTAACAAATTCAAAAGTGAACCTGTGTTACAATATTGCTTTTGAAACCCGCCTTTCCTTTAAAATCCCCAATCTATCTTCATTATCTGCTGATAGCTGTTCTGATTATTATCTTTTTGAACTTTCCATTCATATAATTCCCAGCTAAATGTCTATAAAAAGATAGTCATATTCACAGATCCTAATACTGTACCTGTAACTGTTCCATGTTGCAACTAAAACTAATCTCTGGGTAGGACCCGGAATCAGTGTTCTAGAGAAGAAAGAGAAAGGCTGTTTACTTAAATCAAGAAAATGTTAAATTTTACTACCATACACTTCACTTTTTGGTAGGGTTTATCTATAAATACCTCTACATTTAAAGTCACCAAATATGCAGGTCTGTACATCTTATGAAGTTGATTGGTCTAAAAGAAAAAAAGAACATGTTCATATTAACCTTTATTTCTTTAACATTCCCTAAACCCTCTTAGAGAACCATTTGTTCAACTTTACCTTTATCTGATATTCCAAGCGCCAAGAAACATCAGTTATATGAGGGAGAGATCTACTTATGCTGAAAGATACAGTGACAATTATGCACATAATATCTACAGAAAATGTTTAGTATTTATTACAAATGGTATCTATCTTTTGCCCCCTTCTCATTTTAATCCATTTTGAATTTAAAATATTGTGAAATGTCATTTTCAATAGTAAAAGAGCATCTTAAAATTATCTCAATAAACTTCATCTTTAAAAACATTAGCTTAACTTCAATTGTTTCACTTGCCCTCTGGCCCCTTTTCTTTGAGTCAGGATCCCAGGTTTTCCTGCCCTGTTTTGTTTGAGCCTAGCACTCTCCATTCATACCTGCAAGTGAAAAGTGCCTCAGCTGGACACCTTACACAGAACCTACCTTCCCAGTAGGATTTCTAGGGAATTCTTATTATTCTGGGGAGGGAGAAAAAAAAGAAAGAGAATACGTCTTTGCAAACAGAGCAGAAGAAAAACAGTAATCGTTAATTTAAAAGTATAAAGTAAGTAACCTGATATTCCGTGCAAAACAGGTCTATTCGCTCTCTGTCAAATTTACAGTCTTCTAGGTAAGAGCTGTGTAGCAGAAGGGAAGCCAAAGTTCAGTTTCCATTTTCAGAACTGAGATTGGAATAATAAAGGTACTATTTGAAAATAAATGGATATTTAAATAAATTCTGTACCTCAGAGTTGATTTGTCAACTCGGTGCTTTCCCGCCTCCAGTATGTAAGTTGCAGCTGCTGCATGACAATGTTTTAGAACCACTGGGTCAATATGTTTCAAATCTGGGTGATCTAAAACAAATTGCCAGTGAGGACAGTGATAATTAAGAAAAATTCTTTATTGTAGGTTCCATAAAGAGGATATTTTAATTCGGGTAAAAACCTCTTTTTAGCAAGATAACAAAGAGAATTCAAATAAAAGGAGTGCCAATTCTAAGTAAATGAGATTAGCAACAAAATCAACTTCAAAACAGTAAACATCAATAATTCTGTTATCTGGTTTCAATTATTTTTCCTTAATATTTTTATTATTTCCAAAAGACATTATCACTCCAAAGAAAAAAATAACAGTGGTCCTTCTAACACTGGATAGAATAAATTAAAAGGAACAAGGAAATAGGTATGTTACACAGTATAAATTTCAGAATGAATATTTTTGCTTTAGAAATTATCAATTTTAGGGTATCTGGCTCTGTGGACACACCAAGAAGTGGAAGAGAGGGCATGAGTTCAGAATACAAAATGCAAATTTCAAAATCCTATCAATATTTTCAGGCTTTGATAGCCACGTGATTTTTGAGATGAACCCAGGTGGCGGTTACTATTTTCGTTTAAAGAACTTCCACTTTCAGATGTTTCTGTGCAAGTGTCTAATTCATGTACTACAGAAAAAGGCAAAATCTTGAATTTTAGGGATACTGATATTTAACAAAATTATCTAAAAGCTATCTGTCTTAAAATGCTTTCACTCCGCACTGACATTCACTGACCAGGTCGCTTGAGAGGCTCGCCTCCAGGTAAGGGGTGCGGGACAAAGCACTACGCACCCCACTTTCATGTCTTAGGAGTAGAACCGGGGTACAACACACTGAACTAGAGGGCTGCAGCGATCCTAGCAGCCAGAGGTATTCTCTAGGTTGGAAGTTGTCAACACTATTCGAGCCAGTAATTACTTCGGAAACAGTCCCTTTTAAACGTTTGCCAGCCTAGCCCAAGAAGCCTGAATTGCTGGGAGCGCCCCTGATGAAGTCCAAGTGTCAAAACAGCCGCCAGCTCACACCAGGCTGAAAACCTTAGATGTTTAGGCCACAAACAAGGCTGGAACACGGGCTTTACAAAGGAACAAAGAGACCGGGTGGGAAATCAGGCGAGGAACGTGTGGCTGGCTCTGTGCAGGTGCCAAGTGTGGCCAGAACAATGCTCAGAGTCCGCTCTGGGTCCCAGCAGAGCCACGTCCCCACACTCCGTCCGGAGCGAAGGGCAAAGCCCGGAGACTTCCTCTTCCCGGGGCTCTCCCCCGCTCGCTCGGTCTAGCTCCTCTTCTTGGAGCGCCCCTCCACCCAGGCCGGTCCAGCTCAAAGCCGAGCGGCTTACCTAACACGGCCTCGTCCGCCTGGGCGTCCAGCAGGCTCTGGAACGCCGCCCGGAGGAGAAGCGTGAAGGCGTTGGAGTCGAAGGAGCCGGGATCCGCCAGCATCTGGAAGCCTTTCTGCACATACTCCGAGAGCTCCATTGTGAGCGCGCCGTGACCTTCGACACGCGCACCACGTGACACCCGCCGCGCGCTCAGCTGATGCGGCCGCGCGCGCACGCGGGCCGGGGTGGCGGCGCGGGCTGCGGGGCCTCCCCGGTGACCTCCCGGGCGGCTTCCCGGCCCGCGCCGCCGCCCCGCGCCCCCCGCCGCCGCCGCCCGCCGCCGCTTCCGCCTAGCAGTTCCCTCCGCGGGAGCGGCGGCGGCTCGGCGAGAGGGGCGGCCATGGGCGCATTGTGGACGCGCCGCGCGCTGTCTCCTCCCCTCGGCGCTCGCCGGCTCCGTTCCCGGAGAGACCCCGGGGAAGTGGTGGGAGGTGTCGGGATCCAGGACCCAGTCCCCACCAACCCGCAAACCGAGCCTCCCCGCTGCTCCCTCAGCGCGAAATCCTGCGGGAAACTCCGATTTAAGGCAACTGGGGTGTGTGTGGGGGGGTGTTAACTAGGTTAACTGCGCAGCACTGCCCTTTCGCCCGAGACTGGAAATCTAGTCATACAATTCTGGTTTATTCTTACCTTTTCTTAGCCGTTTCTGGAATACGGCAGTAGTCCTTACTACGTGGTGTGTGTTTGCACACGCACGCATGCACACAGTGAGCGCGTGAACGCACTCCAGCTCAGCTGTTGGGAGACACTTGACAAGAATGCTTAAAAATCATCTTCTTGATGGATATATTTCATAGGATGCTTAAAAATCATCTATGCCGCTACAAATACTTTTCAAAAGCAAACGGAGATAAAAATTTTGTGCATTGCAGCCGTGGGTCCGGTTTTAATGACTTAATAGAATCTTGATAAATACATTAGATGGCTATCAGTACAGTTGGGAATGGCAGGATCTTTATTAGAAGTGAATTACTGTTTCCAATAGCCATCACTTCAAAGATTCAATAAAGTTTAACTTCCCCTCTTCTACTACGAAGTTGGTTTGGAGAACCAGAAAGATTCTTCAAAACGAAGAAGAAAGAACCCGCGAAGCAAAGTAGATGAGGCATTTTCCAGCAAAAGAACTTGAAAAGTAAAATGTGCGCGTTGTTGAGGGACGGAGGGAAAGGCTACGGACGAGAAAGTTGTTTGGCTCTACAGGAGCGGTGGTTGACTACGTGAGCTCAAGGTGAAGCTTTCTCTGGCGTAATTGACTTATATATATTTGCAAACACGCGTTTTTAACGCATATAGTCAACGTCCAACCTTGCCCCAGCACGCGGAGAGCACCTCGTGTCCTAGTGGGGTGATTAACATCAGGAACAGCTGCAGGAACTTTGCTCCGTCCTGCTCTGGAAGCTTTGAAAGGCGCGTGCACGAGCTCTTCCCGCAGAAGGAACACACACAGCAGCGAGGGGCTCCTGAATCTCCCTGGGGTCTTTTTGAAATAAACACCTATTCATCACGTTCATATTTTCTTCTCATCTCTCATTCTCATTCCCTTGTTTCTCTTCAGTGACAAGTCAGTTGAAAATACCAAGATACCTGATTTACCTAGGGACTGTTTTACAGGAAGAGTTGTGCAAATGTTAAACAATATTAACACCAAAACTCATTATTCTTATTACATATACATATATATTTTATGAACTAGGATAACACTACTAATACTCTAATAGCATTTGAGTTGATTATTCTAATCCTAAAGAATTTACTGTCAAAAAAAGAATGCATTTGTCCATGAGCATGGATTTTTAAATGTTATTTTAAAAGAGGCAAGTGAACACAAGTGGTTGAGTTTGTGTGCATAAAAGTTAGGAAATTCACAAAGATTGTTTCCATAATAGCTGTCACGTTACTCTGGCCCATATGTAAGTACTTTCTCTTGGAGGATGTTTGTCCTCTTCTGCCTAAATATATTCATGTGTTAGGCCCAAGTTATGGGTACATTTCCAGCTCTCACAAAAATTTTAACCACAATGTTTTCTGCTGCTAAAAAAACTAAAATTTCCTACTACAGGTACATTTATTTCAACTCCCTTTGAAGGAAGCACAGGATTAAATATTTGTTTAAATGTAGAACATGTGTGTCTTTGACAAGCTATTGAAATACATAGAAGTATAATCATTAAAAGGCATGACTACCCAGATGTAGATTCCCTTGGTTTCAGCAATAAAACCAATGCTTTTTATATTGTTAGAAAAACTATGAACGTATTCTGAAAAATAGTATTTAAAATTTTTTCTTTGATCAATGAAATAACCATTGGAACTTTCATTAAAAATTTTAATAATTCCACTGAAAGCCAGTAGAGTAAATTTGGCCTCAAAGAGACTTTCAACAGTATAATTATGTGCAGCTGAAATAACCAAATAAATATCAGACATCTTCATGTTCATTATGTATCATAAACTGTAAATATTAAGGCAGAATGCTGATAAATTTGTTTTTCTTTTAGAGAATCTAGAAATTATTTGAAAAACTCAAAAGGATAATTTTTAACAATGTTTTAGAGTTTCTAAATAAATTGTATTTTTTGAACTGGCTAGTTAACTCTTTCTAGAAACCAACTGTGATTACCATTAAAATGGGCTGGGACTTTTATAGAATCTATGTGGTCAGCTTTTCCCAAAGGCCTCATTCCTACATTTGTTAGTTTTATGAATTAAAATCTTTTTTTTATAATGTATAAGTGCTTTCACTTATGTGGGAAGAAAGCCCAAGGAAGGTATGCCTTTAAGATTAAAGAGTTCCTTGAATATCCATGTGGAGAAAAAAATGAGATATCCATAAGTTTTAACTGGCATGTATACTATGCCAGTCTAAGATAAGGGATGTATTTTATTTCATCCATGAAATAAACTTAAGACAGCTTCGTTTTAAAGAAAAGAAAGTTTAAACATTTTTAAGACTACCTATACTTTAAGAAACCATCCTCTCTACTCCCCCACCCATATTGATTCTTTGATGGTTACTCATCAGTACTTACTGGTGAAAATAGAGCTTTACTACTTTCAAGCTGTTTTAACGATAGTTGGGCAGTTGAGGGAAATGTTTATGAAATGACCTTTGAGAATATGGCCTTTGAGAATATGAGTCAAAAACCATTTCAGTAGTTTATAAAACCTATATGTTCATGCATTTATTTTATTGGATATCTTAGTAAGGCATAAATTAGGTCTTGTAATTTCAATGGTCAAGTTTTTGCACATTCATGATCACAGAGTTCATGGTCTCAAATTGTGTTTCATGTCACCTACATTGTCAGACCCCCAAATTCAAGGGGACAGCAGGGCTTTTATTTTAAAAATTAAACATTGAGTCGAATTCCTGATAATTCCTAAATGGTCATTGTTACAATAACTAATTTAGGCAAATCAAGTCTTCCTCCCCTCACATAGTATGGACTCGTTTGTATATGTGGATTTTAAAATAAAACTCAAATTCATTTCAATGGAGTTAGTGCCTTAGTATGTAAGGGAAAGTGAAAGCTAATTACATTAAAGAACCCACAAGATTGAAAGCCAATGATACGGTGCTGTCTAAAAATTCACACTTACACTTTTGCACAACTATTTTGGATTTTTTCCCCTAGAACTTTTATTCAAAACATTTAGATTAAATGGCAAATGGTATAGTTTATATGTAATATTTTCATCATTTAGTATCATTTTAAAAAATTTCATATATTAGGGAAAAATATCAAACATCAAAATACAACAGTAAATTAAATGTTTTGAAAGATCTAATTATCATGCTATCTTAAGTTTCTTAAGAAGATAAATAGCAAAGCATTTCCTAAACTAAGGGCTCTAAAATTAACGTTTGCAAATAAGAAATTCTATAGTCAGCATGTGGGTGAGGAGTATACTCCTGAATTACTGGAGTGAAATTTAGGAACCACCAACAGTGCTGCCATGATTTTGTTAGCTAACTAGCCACAATATGAGAACTGTAAAACTAAGTAGAATTCCTAAGAATAAATTTATAATTTTAATATCAAATCTTTGCATTTAACCAATCTCTAGTTTTAGGGAGATTTTGTACATATCAGAAAAGTCATGTTTTCCCTTTATGCTTCACTGTAACATGCTGAAATTTTTCTTTAGGAAGTTTGAGCCTCTATTTTTAAGCAAAGCAGTTAATGTTAAGTGGATATATCTGTTTCATACAGGCTAAAACTGTGATGACTTCATCTAGAAAGAAATGAGGAAATGTAAATAAACAAATACAATTTGGCAAAGGTGCAGGCAAATTTTAATTTAAAGTTGCAGGAATTAAGAAATAAGAAAGCAGTAATACTCCATTTAACTTTTAATGGAAAAAAAACAGGTTGAATTATGTGAAATATTTCTCTACATGGACAAATAAACACCATTCATCTTTACATTCAGTAAATGATTCAAATGATTCCAATTTACTTATATTTTGTATAGATTATAAAAAGCAAGATTACTCCTTAAATCATATAACTTATATCTACTTCATCAGAGAACTGATGTGAAAATTAGGAGCTGATCAATCATCTAATAAATTCTGTCAAATAGACTAGTTAGTAAACACAGATAATACTTCAACAGCAAGTTGATTTATTTTTTTCTACACCGAAATTGTGAAGCTCACCTCTTCAGTTTCCTGTATCACTGATCTGGTGTCAGCCAGAGTGACCCATGGCTTAGCTGTAAGAGGGTAAAAGGGAAGCATAGGTTTGTTGAAACCAGAGCACTTTGTTGAGTACTCATGTATTTAATTCTTCCATATGTACACAGACTGTCCTGGTGTATTTTTAAATTGAGAGATGGAGGAAGGAAGAGAAAGAGACAGAAGGAAGAAGAAGGGAAGGGAGAGAGTGAGGGAAGAAGGCATGCTGGCTAGTTTCTCCCTGCACAGGGAGACTGCAAGATTCTTGACTGTGTACCCACCCTGACACAATCTAGTGCAGCACTGGGCTCAACTGAGCCTCCCAGGAATGCTCGAAACAGACCAGAAGCTCATCTGTGCTGTCCAGAATCTAATCAGCTTCAAGATGCCTACATTAGGCTGCTGCAGCACCGAATGTCTAGCAGAGTCCCTTCCTTTGTTGGTTCTGGATTTGGCATCTATTCTAAAACTATTTCCTCATACCTTAGAAATAGGCGCTTTGGCCAGATCCATGAATACCAAACAAAAAAATCAAACAGATGGGCCTATGCTATATTTTCTACATTCAACAATTTTTAAAAATGTATACTTTGAAAGCATTATTTTTTGCATGTGAAGGTTTGAGATTTAAGAAACTTACATATGTTTCTTTTGTTTAAAGGAATATAATTTTACAAAGAAAGCTGGAGACAGAAAGAAATGAAAGGAGTATTTTATAGATTAAAATTCAGATAACAGAAATCTGTACTTGCTTATAAGTCAAAAGATTTGACCATTCACCTATTAAGTAAAACATTTCAGAATGGAAGTTAAGTGCATAAAAAGGGATTATCTGAATTAGATACACTACAAACACTAAAAAAGATTGTACTGCGTGTACTTTTAACTGATTTAAAGTAAACATTTAGGAGTGTGCATTTAGCCTAGTGGTTAAGATAAGATGCCTGTGTCTTACACTGGAGTATCTGGGTTTGATACCTAGCTCTGGCCCCTGATGATGGCTTCCTGCTATTGCGAACCGGGGGAGCCCACTGTGATGGCTCAAGGAATTGGGTTCCTGCCACCCATGTGGGAGACCTGGATTGCATTCCCAGCTTTTGGCTTACAGGTATCTGGGATGAGAACCAGCAGACGGAAGCTGTCTCTGCCTCACCAAAATACATTTAAAATGTTTTAAATGAAACATTTAACCAAAATTAACATTTTAGGGGCCAGCGTTGTGGCACAGTGAGTAAAGCTGCCAGTAACACCAGCATCCCATACAGGTACAGGTCTGAGACTGGGCTGCTCCATTTCCGATTCCAGCTCCCTGCTAATGGTCTGGGAAGGTAGCAGAAGATGGTCCAAGTACTCGGACCCTTGCCACCCACATGGGAGACCCAAAGAAGCTCCTGGCTCCTGGCTTCGGCCTGGCCCAGCCTCGGGCTCTGTGGCCACTTGGGGAGGGAACCAACAAATAGAAGATCTCTCTGTCTCTCTCTGTAAAAATCTTCAAAAAAACAGTATTTTAAAAGAGTTTACCTGCAAAGAAAGGCCTAGATAAACATGTTTTAGTATTTTGAAATATGTATAATATTTAAAATAATACTGGGTATGAGCTTAATATTTTAATTATGCTGTTATGAATATGTTGGTTTTAAAATTATTTTATATTGTAATTTATTTGAAAGTCAGAGAGATAAACAGAGATAGAGATTTTCCAACACTCAGCTCACTCTTCAAGCACTTTAATAGCCAGGGCTGGGTCAGGCCAAAGCCAAGATGCCAGAAGTCAATCTGGGTCTCCCATGTGAGTGGCAGGGACCCAAGTACTTGAGCCATCACCTGCT